CACTTCTGCCTCAGAAGCTTTGCAGGTGCTGTTCCCCTTGCCTAAACTCTCTGCTTCCATGTGTCCACATGGCTCCCCATCTTACTTCCTTTAAGTCAAGGCTCAGATGATGCTTTCTTAGCAAGGTCTATCCTGACCACCCTACTTATAATTCTAATGTCAACTTCCTATCCCACTCAGGCATTTCTGATTCCTTCCTATCCCACTCTACGTGGGCTTTCCAAAAACACATCACCTTTTCACAAACTATTTCCTTCACACATTTATTTTATTTATTGTCCATCTCCTCCACTAGAATGTAAATTCCATAAAAGCAGGGCTTTTTATTCATTGTTGCATCTCCAGTATCTAAAAAATTGCCTGATTATAGTAGGTTACTTAAAAGTAGTTGTTCAGTGAATAAATGAGAAGAAGGTTATAAAGGAGAAGGCAGGACAAAATGGGAAATGCGTTTAGTGACTTTAGGTAGTAGAGACGTTTCTGGGGCCAAGTGGCTCCCAAGGCAAGTTTTATTTTCTATTAAAGCTTAGTTCAAAACCAAACTTTGCCAGCAAGTCTCTGTATGATTCTCTTTTATATAATTTGAAAATATTACGTTTAATGGCTTACTTCTTTTGGAGCACTTTACTAACACATCTCTCCACTAGCAGGCCACCATTTATCTAAGACAGATACCTTAATGCCCGTGAATTAGTAATTCCTTAACAATATCTCCTTTACCAATGCATTTTGAGGGGTGATTAGCAATTCAGATCTACTGGTTCCATTCTGGACTGGGAAAATGACATTGCTAAATTTGAGAGTGAAGTTTTGGTGATTTTGTTTAGACTGAGTGCTACCCGATTTGCCTAAAAGCAACAGGGATGGAGGGAGGGTGGGGATGGGAGGGAAGCATTCTGTATGGAAATTCTTACTTCCTGAAAGACATAAATACCTACCTATGTCAAGGACAACAGAAGAATGCTGATATTCTACCCACTGACTGAATCTTGATACTCAGAGTAGGCTTTTCAGTTGTCCTTCAAGAAGACATTCCTACACTTAAGGAACTGAGATGCTACTAGCAAGTCAATTTGAACATAAAATCTGTTGAGTAAAAAACCAAATGGATAAATAGGGAATGCAGAGGATATAAGCCCTGATTTCAGGTCTGTTTCACTAAAGTCAAATAAAAAGGTCCCCCGATGCGGGCACAGGGTGATCAACTAGCAGAGCTTTCGTATCCCTGAATACTTCTTAACTTCTTTGGGCCTCAGTTTTCTTAACTGTAAATTGAAGTCCCTAACCCAAGTTATCTCTAACTTCCCAAAAGTTGGGAGGCAAGTAACTTCATTACACTTAACTGGGTTCTTTAACAATTCCTTTAAAACTAAAGAATCTGTCTTCTGTTCAAATTCTTTAGGGCACTACCAGCATCTTTTCTGTTGACCACTTGTGCCCTCTAGTGATAAACTTAATTATACAACAGAATTGGCTAGGGAAACAGTCTGTTCCAGAGGCGTAAATGGGGAAAACAGCAAAAACGCAGTAGATAAAATCAATGTAAAGCAAAAGAGGCAGGCCAAAGATGTAGGCAGGCCAAAGATGTAGGTAAAAAAAAGATGGAAAGAAACCAAATGGCCATCACTTTCTGCAGTGTGCCTATGACTGTGCCTTCCAGAACAAATACTGTAAAGAAATTACCTCTAGTAATTACCACTAGTAAAGAAAACAAACATGCTCCTGAATATAAAAGTTTTTCAGGTATGACTGGAATACCTTTCTTCCTCACATTAAGATCTAGATACAGTTTCTCTTTCACTTAGCAAGATAAAAGATATATTAAGACTTCTGGAAAATATCTATTACATACCTAATGTGGATAATTAACAGATGTGCTTTGAATGCACCTGTCAAGGAGGTGCTAAGACGTCAAATTATATATTCATTGCCAGTCTCACCTGTTCATGGATTTACCAATGGGAATGGGTTCTGACTAAAATCATGTAGTATGTTGGGCTTAAGCAAAGTCCCCAGCCTTCTAAGTATCATTCCTTGGTGTCACCACCATAGAAATGCACAACTGGTCTTTCTCCTATCACATAATTGAAAACAAACATCAGGGCCTTTCCTGGCAATAAATCATATCTGTATATAAATGCTGATAACAGGGGCACCTGGGTGGCTCAGTCATTAAGCGTCTGCCTTCGTCTCAGGTCGTGATCCCAGAGTCCTGGGATTGAGCCCCGCATCGGGCTCCCCGCTCCATGGGAGGCCTGCCTCTCCCTCTCCTGCTCCCCCTGCTTGTGTTCCCTCTCTCGCTGTGTCTCTCTCTGTCAAATAAATAGACAAAATCTTAAAAAAAAAATGCTGATAACATTTTTCTAGCACAGGTGCACAAAAAGAAGAAATGGATTTCAGTGATACCAATAGAGATTTAAGTTAAACAATAGAGAGATCTTCTTAACCATGCTGTTACTGATACAAGGGCGAGAGGTTAAAGAATCTTCTTTTGAAATCTTTTAAGAGGAGGAAACAAAATCTGTACTTATTTGGAGTCATTTTAATTCTAACCTTAACTGGAACATAAGATAGGAATAATAACCACTCAAGTTTCCTTTCTACTCTTAAAATGAAATATGACTGTATGCTTCATATATATGAAGTTCAAGAATAGGCAATATTAATCCATAGTGACAGAAATCGGAAGAGTGGTTGTCTCTTGGGACAGGGAATGGGGCATGAGAGAACTTTTCAAGGTGACGGAAAAATTTTATATTTTGAGTGGTGTTTACACTGGTGTATACAGTTGTCAAAACTCATCAGAGAGTATACTTAAGATCTGTGCGGTTTATTGGATTGTAAATTTTATCTCAAAAAAATATATATGCCAGAGTCTTGGGAAGAGTTAACTTTAAAAATACCACCACTACTCTTTAAGAACAGGCTAAGAAAGAGAAGGGAACTGTCATGACCTCAATAGCATATATAGTCTTACTGAACCAAAAACCAAGAAAAGAAAGAACTGCCCTCGCTTCTCAGCAGTATCCATGCTCATTAGCTAACAGTGCCAATTCATGCCCCCTCCTCTGGCTGGATCAATTCTGCTGCCTGATGGAAGGACATGGAGGTGGGGGAGAAAGATTGGTCCTAAGAGATCAGTGATTGTCTTTAAGTAGAACTGCAGCTTACATTGCCAGGCATGTTGCTCCGCAGGTCCATATGATGATAACGGCATCATGCCTGCTAGCGTTAGAGAGTACTTGGGAGAAAAACAGGTAAGTGTTTTTGGCTTTTTGTTTTCCCTCTTCAGTTAAACTACTTTCTGGAGATAACAGACTGTTCATTCTTCTATTAAGATTCACGTTGGAGTCTGCTTGACACATGGTAGACACTAACAGATGCCTCAAGCAATTGGATGAGTGAAATGTTTTTCAGTCTGACAAATGACTTTCTCATCAAACCTCAATAGTCTCTGCTCTTCCTCACCAGAAAAGAATCAGAAAATCTTTTCTGTAATTTTCATTTGATTTCATTCAAGTCCTAAGATGAAATTCTCTGGGACGCACTGCATCAGGAACATCTTAGCTTTCCTTACCTGGTGCCCTATGTTAGGATTTTCCCATGGCAAGTGGTTTGGAAAGGTGGAGACACAGATTTTCACTGACAAAAGAGATCCTGTCACGACAAAGCCATCCTTGTTGTCATTCCCTTTACGGATTTAATGGCCTCTATAACTCCCTAGGGATTATAGTCCATTTCAGTGCTCTGTAACTATTATTCAGATTCTCTCTTTAGGTATCTTATAATTCCCCAAAGCAACCTTCCTACATCCACTCTTTACATCTCCAAAAGCCTTTCCCAGCCCATTGACGAACTGAAGAGTTGCTGTTATTTATGCATGTGCATGAACCTCTTTGTGGTATTTCCACTTGACGTGGCTCATCTTTGTGAAGTCACCTAGCTTCAACCAACGATAGGCAGTTCTCACCTCTGTCACCACTAGTCATCTTGGCATTGCTTTTTGGAAGGCCCTACTGATTGCTTTGGATCTTGACTAAAATACAGGCAGGTCAATGACATAATAGAGTATTTCTATTTCCTCTGCTAAGAACAAGTTAGTTGTTGATTTTCGGTATGGTTTATCAAATACATTCTTTCTTTCTTTCTTTTTTTTTTAAGAGGCGCCACGCTGGGTGTGAAGCCCACTTAAGATTCTCTCTCCCTTGCGTTGTGCCCCGCCCCTGTCTCTTAAAAAAAAAAAAAAAAAAGAGTCGGAGGCTTAACCAACTGAGCCACCCAGGCGCCTCTCAAATATATTCTGAAAACCTACTTTCAACTAACTGCAGGATACAAAAAGTCCATCTTTTTTACATAATTTCCAGTAAAGATGTACATGTAGTCTCAATTCATGTAGTCAAAACCAAATTCCTTCCTTCCTGAAAAATAGTACTGATAAGGAAACCACTAACTTTCTGTCATGTTTGAGTGGCTTTCAGGAACTTGGGAGTGTCGGGAAAGCTGGGCCCAGGTCATCCACTGCAGAGAAAAGTTGATGCCAGGCCCGAGTTGTATAATAGTCAAGGGTTTAACCTTATTTCAAAGTCAAATATGTGACTTTTGGATTGTGTGATGTTTACATTCTTCACATTTATGTTCCTTTCTCTATATAAGTATAGATCCATAAAAGAAATAGTATCACTCTTCACTTTTCTTCCAAAGATTTCAAAGTACTTTCTACAATCCAATAATGTACTCACAAGAGAGAAAAAGCAGATAGACAGATCCTAGAACTGTGTTAGGGATCAGCAGAAGGCATAGAGAAGTGCAGGAAACTTGCTCAAGAGCATCTGAAGACAATGTACCACCAACTAACACCTGCCACATCTCTCAGAGCAATGTCTATCTCCAAACTCTCCCTCAACTCAAATCTGCATAGGGCCTGCTCTCTTCTATTGAAATTGTATGCACACGAGAAAGGCTGAACCAAAAGGGACATACCTCACTGGCTTGCCACTTACCAGTGCTGCTTTTACCTCTTCAGAGACGTCAGTTTCATCTTCCTGAAAAGGAAGAAGAAAAACAAGAGGATCATAGTCACAGACATCCTTGAAAGCAACAAGGTCAGCTCCCATCAATTATGCATCTTGGCATTTCAAACACAGGCAGTGAGAACTGACTGCCAAGTGATGCTCTGTTACTGCCTTTTAACAGCCGCCATAGGCAGACAGCTCAGGAACACTGCCTGTCATCAAAAACGTCAAATGAACCATAGCAGGAAAAGGGGTATCTTTAGAAAGGACAGACTTTATTCCATCTCTGTCAATAGTTATCAATCTATTTGGTCCTACAAAAATGAGATACTTTTATCTTAAAGAATAGTTTCTAATAGATGACTATTATTGTTTCATTCCTTGTCTCACTGAATGGTTCATCTAGTTTTCAGATGAGTCATTGGTAACCAGGGACCTCTTGATTCTTGGTCACTTAATTTTTAAAATGCCAATAACAAAAGTTGAGTGAGACCGGTATAGAACAGGAGGGTGAATTAAAGTACTAAATGTGTGCTTGCAGTTAGTAAGCTCTGGTGTCCCTGTCTTTATTTTAAAGCCATAGTTAATCTGTTTTATATATTTTTTTTCTTTTTTCCTCTAAAAGAGTAAAATTGAGTCAGATGAACTTATATTACTAAGATTTTTGGTTCCTTGAAATTCTTGTAATGCTCTTAAAATATTTCATTAGAATCTCTGCTTATATGTGATAATACTATTGACTAACTACATGACTTTCTGGAAATATTAGGGAGAATTGCTGGTGTTTGACAAGCTTATTCACTTGTTATATTTGCTTATATGGTTGTTGTAGATTTCTGGTCTTTTTTATCTTCACCAATTATTTACTGAGTGCCTACTATGTGCCTGGCACTGTTCTAGGTACTGGGCATCTGTCCAAGGATATACCAAAGGAGTCCCACACTAGGTAGGTCATCTTCTCTTTCCTCAGTAATGTTTCTTGATAATCTGCAAGATTCATCAGACCAGGTGGGACCCTTTCTTTTTTTTGAACTCAGCAGAAAGGACGGCGGCCATGGATGATGTGATATGTCCTAGCACGGACCAATCCACTTACATCCTTTGTCCAGAAATTGATGCCCGTGCCTCGTCGTCGTTCCTTGGGCCGCCTCCTCTCACGGATGGACAGTCTAGTAGAGGACTGATCATCCACATCTGCTTCTTCACTCTCTGGCCAGAGATAAAACGAAGTGTGATTTTAGGAAACGGAGGCATGTACACGACGGGGGGACGCCACCTAAAATGAAGCTCTACATACCATTTTTGTCCATTTCCTTTGCAACTGCAGCGTTTGTGGTGGTCTCCGGACTCTCAGAGTCAGGGACTGAAGATCTGCTTGTCTGCAGCAGATGGGAACTGGTATAGAGAGAGGATCTTGATGCAGAAGGAGACACTGGTGTTGTGGGTTTGTCTGGCTGAACTGGATACCTCAGGCGACGATAGACAGGCTGGAAATAATCCACAAGGTGAGATGTTAGAGGTCAAGTCCAACCAAAGGATAAGAATAGCAGGCTTATTAAAAATGGGCTTTTCCTATACCAAGAGGCTTATTAATAGTTGATGTTCAATAAATAGCTACTGAGCTAAACTAAAGTTAGTTAGGTAATTAGCCAGAAAGGAAACAGCTTCTGGATTCCTATTCTGATAATACCATCAGGTTGACAGCAGCCCAGGAAAATTTTTCCTAAACTGACCAAAGGGCACTAGGTAGCACTAACCTTGTTAATAAAAATTCCTTTGATTTTGGAATGAAAATAAGAAGGGTGATGACCTTTTTAAGATGGAGCACTGAAAGGCAAGATTTACATAGAAAAATAAAAAGCTTGGGAATATGAAGAAACAATACAGAGTTATCTGAGAACGGAGGCCAAATGTGAGCAATCAATTTCTGAATATTCTACCAACCTGCCATAACCAGGCTTATTGAAACTTAAAAAAAACTTCCCATTTTCCACTTTGAAATTTTTCCCCAAGGAGAAAGAGACTGACAATAAGCCTTAACTTGGTTTTTTGAAGATGCACAGATAAATTCTTAATACATGTAGAGATTGTATACTTTTTTGTTTATAAAGACAGTGGCAATAAAATATAGTAAGCTTTGGAATCAGACAGAACTTGGTTCAAATTCTAGCTCCAGGACTTACTAGCTGTGTGGTCTTGAATAAGTTACTTAACTTCTCTGAGCCTCAGCTTTCTCCTATGTAAAGTAGGGATAATAGCTTCCTCACAGAGGGTTGTGAGGATTATACAAGAGAATGTATGGTAGATGCTTGGAACAGTAGCTAGTAGTAAGTAATCAATAAACAGTAGCTGACAGAACAAAATAAACAAAAGAACCTCAGTTAGTTTATGTAACCTAGCCATTCAGAGTTGGAGCAAGGAGATTCTTTTCTCCTCTAACTATGGTGATGGGAAAATTTATCATCCCAATTGAGACACTTCTGAGAGTAAAGATGAATGGTATCAATAATTACACTAAGGTAACAGGTGTAATTTGAACTCCTAATTTAAACTAGGAGTTATGTTCACCCTAAATAGAATCCTATGCCTTTGACTATCAACTCCACCTGAGAAAGGGAACATAAGTTAAAAAATTGTCCACCTCAATAATGACATCTTGTGGCATGTGATTAAAGGGTGCTCTGTAAACTGCTAGGTTTGCAGGGGTTTAGAGAACAATATAATCATGGTTGAGAGAGCGCTCTGTGGAGCTTGGCTGCCTCTGCTCAAGTTCTTGCTTAACCACTTCTCATCTGTGTGAAATGCTGGGCAAGCTACTTAACCTCTTTGTGACCTGATTTCCTTACATTTACAATACAAATAATAATATCTACCTCAGAGGGTTGTTTTGAGGATTAAACGAATTAATACATACGAAATAGTTGAAATAATGCCTGGTATAAAGTAGACACTCAATAAATCCTCACATTTCTATTTGTATTTTTATTATACCATAACCTCTCTCTTTAGAATAGAAAAACATCTTTAGTTAAAGAATAAATTTAGTTAATGGAACTTACTGTTTCACAATATATACATATATCAAATCATCATATTGTACATAGTCTAAAGTTAATAAAATGTTGTACGTCAATTCAATGTTATATCTCAACATCTCCATAAAACTGGATAAAAAATAAGCATTAGTTAACTGCTAGCACAAAATGATGACTGAAGGACGGACATCCTCTGAGTTCTTTCAGTCACACAGGTTTGCCAACGACAGACGGACGTTACCAGTGTTTTCTATGAGTTGTCTACTGCAAAGGAGCACCGTGCTTGAGTTATCAGTGAGGAGGGATTCCCCACATTAATGACCCTGCTTTTAGCACAGTACATGTCAGTGACTTACTTCTTCATCCAGACTCCCACCCCAGGGTTGACGGCCCTCGCCAGCTTCCTTTGCTGGGACCGCTGAGGGCTCATGCTTCTCCGAGCTTCCTTCAAGCCCTTCAGTGCCTGTGGACTTCTGGCTAGGCTGCTCCTGAGCTTGCCGTTCTGCTCTCGACCGGCTGAAAGTCCTTTCTGCTTCCTGAAGGTCTGTTAGTGTCACGCCCTGGGAAAATGACACAAGGTCAGGGAAGTTTCACCCTTACCATGGAATAACTGTTGATAAATAAGCAGGGAGACTGCCTTAAAGATCTAATAGTATCAAATTCCAAATGAAGCTCTCAAAATGTATGAGGCCATTACAAGCAAGATATGCTTAAAATAAACACCTCAGTGTGCAAAGAGCCCCAGCCTGAGCCCAGGTATATTTCAAATGTAATACTTTAGCTCTTCCAGTTTGAGTTCCAGAAAGTAGGGCAACATTAATGGCTGCCTGTTGTAGATGTACTTCTCTCATACTCAATACCTTTATTTGAAAGCTCCATACCTCCCAAGAGCAAATGGTTACCAAGAGAAATTCTCTGAATAGTGGATAATAAGAAAAACTTGATTTTACTTATAGAAAGAAAAACCAGGCTCAAAAAGGTGAAAATTCAGAGCCAGATAGAACAACAACAACAAAGACCAACCAACCAACAAAAACGACACCGCCTAAACTAGCTTTATTCTAAGATGATTTCCTAAGTGACTCTAGGAATGTCACACAGAGACAATCCAACAATTGATATTTCCCCCAGGCTCTCAGGAGCAGCAGTACAGAAGAAAAACAAGTAGGAATCATCTGCAAGAAGAAGCGAGAAAGAGAGTTAGGACTAGAGTGAGCTGATTCTAACTCAAGCAGTTATGTGCTCAAGTCCTCATGAGAAGGACGTTCTAAAGCTAGAGGTAGTTAAGCAAGTACTATAACCTGTATTTTTTTAACTATTCATGAATTTATTCACTCATTCTCTTAATAAATTATTGTGTCTTTAAGCACTGGAACTACAAAGACAAATCAAATGATTCCAGCACTCAAGAAACTTTTAATCTAATGGAAAAGACATAAGAAAACAGATGAGTATAATAGAATGTAAATAATTAAGACAGAAACATATGATCCAGCAAATTCCACTTCTGAGTATTTACCCAAAAGAACTGAGAGCAGGGTCTCAAAGAGATCATTTGTATACCCATGCTCACAGCAGTAGTAATTCACAATAGACAAAACGTGTCTATCAGCCGGTAAATGAATAAACAAAATGCGATCTAACCATATAGTGTAATACCATTCATCCCAAAAAAAGAATGAAGTACTGACACAGGCTATAATGCAGATGAACCTTGAAGACATTATGCTAAGTGAAATAAGCCAGGCACTAAAAGGACAAATAATGTATGATTCCGCTTGTGTTGAAGTACTTAGTGATCAAATTCATAGAGACAAGAAGCAGAATGGTGGTTGTCAGAAGCTAGAGGAGGGGGGAGGGGGAATTATTGTTGAATATATACAGAGTTTCAGTTGGGGAAGATCAAAAATGTTCTGGAGATGGATGGTGGTAATAGTTACAAAATAATGCGAATGAACTTAATGACACTTAAAAAAATGGTTAAAGTGATAAACTGCATGTTATGTATTTTTTACCACAATAAACCAAACTAGAACAAAAAACTATAGGTCAGTCTTGGTCCTTTTTTTTCTTTTTTTACAAAGAGAAAGCACAGCCCTTTTCTTCCTCCCTTCCTTCCTTCCTTCCGCCCTCCCTCCCTCCCTCCCTCTTTCTTTCAAGAGTTATTTATTTATTTATTTGACAGTGAGAGAGAGTACAAACGGGGAGTGGCAGGCAGAGGGAGAGGGAGAAGCAGGCTCCCCACGGAGCAGGGAGCCCGATGTGGGGCTCGATCCCAGGACCCTGGGATCATGACCTGAGCGGAAGGCAGACGTTTAACGACTGAGCCACCCAGGCGCCCCATAAATAACATCTTAAAAAAAAAAAAAAAAGTCTCTTTCTTCAGTCCTCAGCTTTCCTGCCTGACCTCTGTAGAATTTACGACTGTTACCTTCAACTGACTTTTCATTTACTTCTCTGCCACTCCTATTTTCTGGTTTACCTTTCATCTCTCTGGCTGCTCCTTTTAACTGGGCTTCATCAGCTCATCGTCCTCTGCCTCCTTAATGCCAAGTCACAGCTTTCTCTCCCTTCTCCTGCCAGTGCATCCCGACTGAGTTCATGGTCTTGTTACTTCCAGCTTGGACTGCTGTGACAGCCTCCTAACACGTCTTCTTGTTTCCCGCTTTTATTAACATACTTTTGCCGACCACTCCCACCAATTCTCTGCACGGTGATTTTTGCAATATTATACAGAATGGGATGCCTGGGTGGCTCAGTTGGTTAAGCGTCCAACTCTTTTTTTTTTTTTTTTTTTTTTAGAGGGAGAGAGAGCAAGAGTGGACTGAGTCACCCAGGCACTCCATAGCCTCCGACTCTTGATCTCAGCTCAGGTCTTGATTTCAGGGTTGTGAGTTCAAGCCCTATGTTGGGCTCTACACTGGGCAGGGAGCCTACTTAAAAAAAAATTAATTAAAAAATATATAAATATTTATAAATGTTATTATTTATATATATTTTTTATATAAATGCAGATTATATCAGACTCTTCCTTACTTCAATGGCTCCCTTAGGGGTTTTTTCCTTTTAAAAATATCTTTATTGAAGGGGCGCCTGGGTGGCTCAGTCAGTTCAGTGTCCGACTCTTGATTTTGGCTTAGATCATGATCTCAGGGTCCTGGGTTCAAGCCCCGCCTCAGGCTCCACGCTCAGCGGGGAGTCTGCTTGACATTCTCTCTTCTTCTTCCTCTGCCCCTTCCTCCACCCTGTGCATGCACGCTTTCCCTCTCTTAAACAAACATATAAATCTTTAAAAAAATATATCTTTATTGAAACCTAACTCCCATATCATAACACCCACCCTTTGAAGTATGGGCACACCCCAGAGATACTGAGGGTCCGGCCCCAGACCACTGTGGTAAAGTGTCATAACACAGCGAGTCAAATGAATGTTTTGGTTTCCTAATACATATAAGAGTTATGTTTAAACTACGCTGTGGTCTTTTAAGTGTGAGATAGCGTTAAGTCCAAAAAACAATGTACACACGTAATTAAAAAATACTTTATTGCTAAAAAAAATGCTAACCATTGTCTGAGCTTTCAGCAAGTCACAGTCTTTTTGCTGGTGGAGCCTCCTGCCTTTATGCTAATGGCTGCTGACTGATCAGAGTGGCTGTGGCAACTTCTTACAATATGACAACAATGAAGGAAGTGTGTCGCATTGCTTGACGCTTGTTTTCATGAACAATTTCTCTGTAGCATGTGATGCTATTCGGCTGCATTTTACCCACAGTTCAACTGTTTTCAAAATTGGAGTCAATCCTCTCAAACCCTGCCACTGCTTTATCAACTGAGTTTAGATAATATTCTAAATCCTTTGTTGTCATTTTGACAGTCTTCACAAACCACCAGGAGTGGATTCCAACTCAAGAAACAACTTTTTTTTTGCTCATCTGTAAGAAACAAGTTCTCACCTGTTCATGTTTGATCATGAGATTTCAGCCATTCAGTCCCAAGTTTAGGCTCCCCTGCTAAGTCTAGTTCCCTTGCTGTTTCTACCACATCTGCAGTGACTTCCCCCACTGAACTTTGAACTTTCAATTTGTTAAAAAAAAGCAGTATCTGCGAAGCGCAATAAAATGAGGTACGCTTGTATACAATTCCGTGGTTTTAGCATATACACAGAGTTCTGCAACCATCATCACCATCTCATTTCAGAACATTTCATCACCCCAAAAAGTAACTCGATATCCATCAGCAGTCACTCCCATTCCTTCCTCTCTCCCACCCCTGGCAACCACTAATCTATTTTCTTTCTTTCTTTCTTTTCTTTCTTTCTTTTTTTTAGAGAGACAGAAAGCGAGAGTGAGGTGGGGGAGGACCAGTGGGAGAGGGAGAGAATCTTAAGCAGGCTCCATGCCCAGCACAGAGCCTGACGCACAACCCTGAGATCATGACCTGAGCCAAAAATCAAGAGTTCAACACTACTGACTGAGCCACCCAGGTGCTCCACTAATCTATTTTCTATTTCTCTGGCTTTGCCTATTCTGGATATTTTCATATAAATGGAATCATGTCTGGTTTCTTTCACTTAACATAATGTTTTCTTAAGGTTCCCGCACATTGTAGCATTAGCATGTATCTCTTTATTGCCAAATAATACTCTATTGTATGGCTATATTTTATTTATCCATTCCTTTGTTAATGGAAATTTGTTTTCTTTTTTCCCCAGTTATGCTAACTGCTTAATTTATTTGGTCTGCTTGATGGCTCAGCCTGTGCCCGCCACTCCTACAGCTGCAGAGGATAGCTGAGGCGCACCTAGCCACACAATGCTAAACCTTGCTGCTGCCGGGAGCCCAGGACTCGACTCTACAGCAAGCTTGCAAACTGCACACATAAATATGGTCTATATAGCAAGTAAACTCTGGCCAGAGTTCAGAAATGACACTGAATTTGGGATGTGGGCTATTGTGGATAATGCTGTTATAAACATCTATGTACAAGTTTTTGTGTGGACATATGTTTTCATTTCTCTTGACTATATACCTAAGAGTAAAATTGCTAGGTCATATGGTAACTGTATATATAACATTTTGAGGAACTGCCCAACTCTTCTCCTTTAGGGATTCTTAAGATGTGGCCTCTTAAACACAAATGGAATGATTAGTCTTGTGAAGGAAAGGAGATAAACCTGCTCTGAGTCTGGAGAAATAAAAGTGAGAGTGGGCAGATGTAGGAATAAATTCATCTGTTACTACGTAGTATAAGATTTAACACAGGTGAAAACTTTTACAACAGTGGCTGGAGTAAGGAACTGATCTTACGATTTTTTAATTGTACCTCCAACAGAAAGGAAGATAGACAAAATGACATAAAAAGAAGATCACACTCACTTGAGTAGACCTTCGAGTCTGCCGAGCTTGTCTGGAGCGTGCTTTCCGTAAAGACTCTGCTTCCTCATCCCGCACCGGAGTCAGATATGACCTGTAGAGAAAAAAAGTAATACCAGAAGTAAGAGACCTTGCTGCATGTACTTGAGGAATGACAAGGTCCCTCCACACACTGAAGTGATTTCTACACTCTGAGAATGAACTCAGGCAGAATCAAAATGATAGAAATGCCATCAGTGAAAACTGCATAATCCAAGACATTACTTATAAATATATTACTGTTCATGCAGAATCATGTCATTTGTAAAATGAGACTTTCATTTCTTCTTTCCACATCCTTAAAATTTTTATTTCTTTCTTTTCTTGCTTTAATGCTCTGGCTAGAACCTCTAGGACATGTTGAAAAGGAGTGATGATAGCAAGTTTTCATGCTTTGTTCCTGCCTTCAGAGACAAAGCATTCAGCATTTTATCACTGTGATGTCTACTGCAAGATTTCTGTAGACACTGCTTCTCAAGTTCAACCAATTCCTTTCCATTCCAGTAGGAAGTAGGCTGAGAGGATTTTGTTATTATTGGTTCTGTTTTTTTAATCATTAGTGTGTGTCGAACTTATCACATGCTTTTCTTCCCCATATTATCATTTTCCTTTTTTCTATTAATATGGTGAATCACATTGAATAATTTTTGAATGATAAAATAACACTGGATTCTTAGAATAAGCTCAACTTGGCTATGATGTATCAACTTTTTTTTTTAAATAAATGTTATTTTATTATTTCTTTTAAGTAAGCTCTATACCCAACATGAGGTTTGAACTCACAGCCCTGAGACCAAGAGTTGCATGCTCTACTGAGTGAGCCAGCCAGGCACCCCTGTATAGACTTACTTTTATATAGATTCAGTATTATTTAGTTTAGGATTTCTCCATCCATGTTTATTAGAGAAAATGGCCTATAATTTTCCCTTCTTATAATAACCTGGTCAGGTCTAGAATTAAGATCAAACAAGTTGGGAAGTGTTTTCTCCTTGTCTATTTTCTATAAGAATTTGTGTAAGATTAAGGTTGTTTCCCTCTTAAATAATTAGTAAAGTGCACCAATGAAGCGATCTGGATTTAAAGCATTCTTTATGGAAGGGTTTTAAATAAGCAGTTCAATTTCTTTAATTGATTTAGGCCTAGTCAGATTTTCTGTTTTGGTAATATTTGTTTTTCAAAGACCTTAATATTCTTATATTTAGTGGCACAAAATTGTTCATAATACTCTTGTATATTTTATTTTATTTTTTTTACTCTTGTATATTTTAATTGTCATTTTAGTATCTGCAGCAATGATTCTCAATTTTTTGGTCTCAGGGCCCTTTACATTTTATATACATATACATATATATATATATATTTAAGATTTTATTTGACAGAGAGAGAGCACAAGATGGGGGGACGGCAGGCAGAGGGAGAAGCAGGCTCCCCACTCAGCAAGGAGCACTCTGTGGGGCTCGATCCCAGGACCCTCAGATCATGACCTGAGCTGACAGACGCTTAACCAACTAAGCCACCCAGGTGCCCCTACATTTTTTTTTAATTTATTTATTTATTTGAGAGAGAGAGAGTGAGCAAGAGCAGGGTGAAGGGCAGAAGGAGAAGCAGACTCCCTGCTGAGCAGGGAGCCCAATGTGAGACTTGATCCCAACACCCTGGGATCATGATCTGAGCCAAAGGCAGATGCTTAACCTACTGAGCCACCCAGGCGCCCCCTTTTACATTTTTAAAAATTACTGAGGACCCCCAAAGGGCTTTCGTTTATGTATATCTATTAATATTTACCTTAGCAGAAATTAAAACTAAGAAATTTAAAAAATATGCACTAATACATTTAAAAATAAGAGCACTATTATAAAAAGTTACATCAATAACTTATCTTTTATGAAAATAACTATTATCTAAAACAAAAGAATTTGGTAAGGGTGTTGTATTACATTTTTATAATTTTCTTTAACACTGGCTTAGCAGAAGATAACCAGATTTTCATACACACTTTATTCAATATGTTGTATAACAGTGTTTCAGTTAAAATGTATAAAGACCTACATTTTTAAATTGTTAAAATTTAGGGTCCCACTAGTATACATGTATTCTATTCTATAAGAAGAGAGGGGGAGGGGGAAAGGAATACTAAGCCAAACATTTCCAATTCTACTTTACTAGGGTGTAAGGATATGGTTTTAAGCTACACGGGTAAGAAACTCTCCAGGCACCACTTCTAGTAACTTTTATAAGGAAGTGCTTTTATATTGAGCATTTGAAAGGTATGATGTATTTTAATCTACCTCCAAAGTATTAAATAAACATGTGATTGCAATGCAATAAATAAATAAATAAATAAATAAATAAATAAAATATATAAAGAACATACAGTCTTTCACAGGTTTATAGTCGGAAAAGCAAGTAGTATTATAATAGCTTTTTAAGATAATTATGGATATTCTTCTTTGATACTATATACTAAAATACAAGTGGTAGTTTCTTAAAGGTTAGTAGCAAGTGGAATCTGAAACCATGTTAACAGACTGTTCATATTCTGTTACACTGAAATCTATTGGTCTATCTTGCACTTTGAATGGACCTTCTTACCCATGAAAGAATTTGGGTCATCACACATTGGTCATTTGGAAAACACTGGTGCAGATCTTCCAAATGTTGACACACTGCATTATAGAATAATAATTTTATAAATCACATTCTGTAACATAGGGCGTAAGTTCCTTGACATGGCCCTGGTAATGATTTTTTTGGATTTGACACCAAAAGCAAAGGCAACAAAAGTAAAAATAAATAAATGGGACTATATCAAACTAAAAAGCTTCTGCATAGCAAAGTAAACTGTCAATAAGATGAAAAGGCAACCTACAGAATGGAAGAAAATATTGGCAAATCATATATCTGGTGAGGGGTTAATATCCAAACTAGATAAAGAACTCATACAAAATAACAGGAAAAAAAATCTGATCTCACTTATATATGAAATCTTAAAACACAAACTCATAGATACAGAGAACTGATTTACGGTTAATGGAGGCAGGAAGTAGAGGGTGGGCAAAGTAGGTGAAGGTGCTCAAAAGATATAAAATTTCATTTATAAGATTAGTAAGTCCTGGGTATATAATGTACGGTACGGTGACTATAATTAACAATGCTGTATTATATACTTGAAAGTTGCTAAGAGAGTAATTTTAAAAGTTCTTATCATGAGGGAAAAAAATTGTAACTGTGTGATGATGGATGTTAACTAAACTTATTGTAGTAATCATTTTGTAATACATTTACTAAATCACTAAGTTGTACACCTAAAACTAATACAATGATATGTCTATTATATCTCAATAAAAAATAATAGAAAAATAAAACATAAAAAAATCACATTCTTTAATATCACCTTTGATCTTAGGGCAGTCTTTAAATGTTGGGAAGAAGTCAATAAAACCACTCATAATGGCAGATACAAGTTTTCCAAAATTCTAATTTCTGCTTGAAATTTAAAATTTTATAACTGGCAACAAATACTTTGTGACAAGCTCACTTTGTTCATTTTCAAGAAAATGTCTGCCAAATACCCAAGTCTAAAGGACCATAGTCTGCCCAGTCATTCTTTCAAGTAAAAATGGTGTTCCAGGAAAGAAGCAGCTAATTCTTCTTTTTTCTTCCTCTGCATTTCAATTCTACTTATATTACACCTTATTGGCCGTATTCTATTTATTTGTTATGCTTTTTCTGTATTTCCCCTTCCTTTGCTCTCTCTGGGTTTCATTCTGGATTATTTTCTTTTTCTTTCCTTTTAAAGTTTTATTTATTTAAGTAATCTCTACACTCAGTGTGAGGCTTGAACTCACAACCCCGAGATCGAGAGTTGCACGCTCTTCTGACTGAGCCAGCTGGGCACTTCATTCTAGATATTTTCTACTATCCATATAATTAGTTCACTAATCCTCTCTTCAGCTGGTCTACTATAAACTCACCAGTTGAGTTTCTAATTACAGTTATTTAAAGTTTTGGTTCTAGAATTTTCATTTGATTCTTTTTAAAAGAGGTTGCAGTTCTCTGTTGAAATTCTCCACCTTCTATTTTCTTGAACATATTAATCATAATTAGTTTAAAGTCCATGTCTGATAACATCAGTATCTGGCTCTATTCTTATTGTTTTGTTTTCTTAGTCTTTTGGTAGACCAGTCTTATTTCTTGGTATGTCTGCTAATTCTGGGGAAAAAAAAAAAACCTACTTTTTTTTTAATTGAATAAATGTCTTTATTAGGAAAACTGTAGGTGCATTATACATCTTGTCATTGATATGACTTCAAAGTAGAAATAATTGTTTCTTAAATGGAGTTGTTACTTGTTAAAAAAAAAAAAAAAGCACACCGCATACAGGAAGCTGCCTTCTCCTGGACCACTTTCAATTATAGATCCAATTTAAACAATACAAAATACAGTATTTATCACATTTAACAGAGACCGGGCGTCCAGCAAGGGTCCAACTGCCAAACATTTTTAATAAGAGGATATTCTTTTCCTCTGGCAGTTAGCTTAAGGAAGTGATTCTCAAACTTCCATCTGCATCAGCATTTCTTAGGGGGCTTGTAAAATAAATTGTTAGGCCCCACCCCCAAAAGTCCTGATTCATTAGGTCTGGAGTAGGGTCTAAGAATTTGCATTTCTAATTAGGTCTCCATGATGCTTCTGATCTGGAGACCATCCTCTGAGAACTACAGGGCCAAGGCAAATGACCTTCATCTACTTTGACATTAAGCTGAATGGAAGCTAGCCTTCAGTCTTTGCAAGGGCTGGTCTATTTCTGATAAGCCCTCACTTCTAGAATGTAGCCCTTCAGTGGTCCCAGATGAATGTATGGGGCCCCACATCCTGAACTCGTTTTTGTTCCCTCAGCTCCATGAGACCACTGAAAATCCTGCCCAGTTTCTTAGCCTTGTAGCTACTGCTTTATTAATCAGCAAATGCCTCAAGGGGAAAAGCACAGCCAAATGTTGGGCTCACCTCTTTATGCTTTCCTTCTCTCCAGGATCTTGATCCCTCAAGTCCTCA